GAGGGGGGAGGGGGACAAGGGGGGCGGAAATGAAGGGTGTTTGGGAAGGGAGGAATCCTTTTTTTAGTCTGTGACAAATTATTAAAACAACCTGTTGACAATTACAAGTCTGTATCTTCAATTAATCAAGCTGCACCAAAATTAATTTAAACATCTTACTGATGCAAAATGAAATCGGTATTCTTCTGATACTGGAACAGTTAAATAAAATTACTTACTGTTTTGGAAAATTATTATTTTATTGTTATAAATGGTGTAGAGATGAAGAAAAATTACTCATTGCATTTGGCATTTTCCACGCATTCTCCTCTCCTTAGGTGATTTTTCATTATTTATAGAGCAGGGGAGACTAAATATGCTGGGAAGTCCCATAAAACTGGCGAGTTACCAACTAACAGTCACTTTAGAAGTCAAGAAATTAATTTACTGCTCTGTTGTACCATCACATTCAGTGCTCAGATGAAAACAGGAAACTGTCCCAAGACTGACATCTCACTAAACAACAGAAGCACCCACTAAGCAGAGTGACTCGTGTCCTTACTTTTCAGTCCTACTCTGCTGTGGAGTATGCTGAGCTTCTGACCCTTCACTTTTAACAGATGCAGCAACAGTAGATATTGTTTCTGCGAGCTCTCTCCTCCTCTGATGTTCAGCCATTAAAGCTTCAAGTTGCTTTCTTCTCTGTCGCAATTCTTCTCTTAAAATCTCATGTCTTCTCATCTCAGACCATAACTGTTTGCAATAAAATGGAAGACATTGGAATATAAACAAAATAAATACAATCGAAACTAAAGCACATTAAAATTTCAATATTTGATACTAACATTGATGCCTTTTTGTTCAGGCATTGGTATTATAATGTAACTGAAGCCACACTACAGAAAGCTGCAAAATACATTCCATATTTACTATTTATCCTAAATACTGCAAAATCTTAAGAAGGTAATTAATCACCACAGGACAGAATTTTTTAAGAAAAACAGCGCATGTTTCACTCAACACTGTTTTTGTCACGTAATTTATGCATTATTAGTTAGCTCTTTAAGTAGAATGACAGAATACTACCCTCTGGAGAAATCTGAAAATTGTGCCAAGTACTTCTTTGGTAATAAAGTAGAGGATACAATAAAAAGTTTTTCTGCAACCTGCAGAAACTTCAAGTTGCAGTGTATGTATGAACAAGACTTAATGAAGCCATGATTTACAAAGAAGAGCACATAAAGAGAAAGGTACAGGTAGAAAGAGACCTTTATCTACCTTAAATTACATACAGTGAAAGCATAAATGGCAAGATACTTTTACAAACACGTAAACAGCATAATAGTAACATAATAGCATAACATACAAAAACAATTGTGTAAGTGAACTAGACTGGAAAAGGCAGACTTAAAGACAGGCAACTGACAACGTACTCAAGCCTGAAAGCAACTGAACTAGTTGGTGGTGCTGGAGCTAAGTTTTCCAACCAAAAAAATCCATACGTATTTCGATAATTAATAACCCAACCTGTTTGTACAGTGTTAGCAATTGCGTCAGCACACTCATTTTAGAGACAGTTTCTTTTTAGCAGGAAGAATTCAGACCTTTTATTCAGTGAAAAGAGACAAGTTGTCCTATAATGCTTATTTGGAAGATGCCAAAGTTGTGAAATTCTCTTCTTGGAGAAGGAAAATTTGGCTTTTAATGACAACAGTACAGGCATTGCCCAATCAGCCTCATGTAAACTGTTAAAGGAAAATTTACAAGAATGCTGATGCAACTCACAGAGAAAGCCTATCAAAAAAGTTATTTTTCAGATATTTGTTTCTGATGTCTAGTCTAGCCAGGAAACACTTTTCATCACATATCCCTCCATCCCTACAAATGCTAGCATGATTTTCAGAAAGACTAAGTAATATCCAGATCATTATTTAAGATATGAATTTGGGGGGAAAAAGGGAAGGAAGATGTGTAGAAGATAAAGTACATTTCAAATCCTGCCATCATTTTCTTCATGGATGACTTGTCTGTGGTATACACTATCAAATGTACACAGTACAAATTCAAAATTCATTCAACTTCCACATTAATATTTGGCAACAATACAGCAATATCTGCTATATTTCAGGAAAGATCTCTTGCCAGTTCAACATCTACTTTTTTCCAGAAATGAAACAAAGAAATTATACATACTTTGTTAAAATGGTTACTACTCCACTCCCCATCCCAAGTACGTAAAAATATGTCCAAGTTACCTACAACTTTTTTCATTTTAGACCTTTTTTAAGTCACAGAATATCAAGTATGAAATACCTCATTGCCTGCTGGTACAGATTCATTAAATTCAAGTAAAGGCTTGCCAGCTGTGTTACATTCATTTATAGCCGGAGTTGAGGTTGCTGGTGAAGTCTGCCTATTTGCTGGGCAGTTACCCTGGCCAGCTGACAACTGAAAGAGAAAGCAAAAATGGCAAAATGGAGTAGAGTAGCTTTCTAAAACATACGTGCTGTTAAAACATATTTAAGGGGAGAAAAAAACTGCGCAACCATAGCAGAAGAGAGAAGTGACAGTATGCGAGAAAAACAACTCTGCAGACACCAAGGTCCGTGAAGAAGGAGGGGGAGGAGGTGCTCCAGGCACCAGAGCAGAGATTCCCCTGCAGCCCATGGTGAGGCAGCAGGCCGTTCCCCTGCAGCCCGCAGAGGTCCACAGTGGAGCAGATATCCACCTGCAGCCCATGGAGAACCCAACGTTGGAGCAGGTGGATGCCCGAAGGAGGCTGTGACACCTTGGGAAGCCCATGCTGGAGCAGGCTTCTGGAAGGACCTGTGGACAGGAGCCCACGCTGGAGCAGGTTTGCTGGCAGGACTTGTGACCCTGTGGGGAACCCACGCTGGAGCTGTCTGTTCCTGAAGGACTGCACTCCATGGAAAGGACCTACGCTGGAGCAGTTCGTGGAGAACTGCAGCCCATGGGAAGGACTCACATTGGAGAAGTTAGTGGAGAACTGTCTCCCATGGGAGGGACCCCACGCTGGAACAGGGGAAGAGTGTGAGGAGTCCTCCCCCTGAGGAGGAAGGAGCAGCAGAGACAACATATAATCAACTGACCGCAACTCCCATTCCCCGTCCCCCTGCACTGCTGGAGGGGAGGAGGTAGAAACAAACTGGGAGTAAAGTTAAGCCTGGGAAGAAGAGAGGGGTGGGGGAAGGTTTTTTATAATTTAGTTTTTATTTTCTCATTATCCTACTCTGATTTTGATTAGTAATAAATTAAACTAATTTTCACCAAGTTGAGTCTGTTTTACCTGTGACAGTAATTGGTGAGTGATCTCTCCCTCTCCCTGTCCTCATCTCAACCCACGAGCCTTTCATTATATTTTCCCTCCCCTGTCCACCTGAGGAGGGGGAGCAATAGAGCGGCTTTGGTGGGCACCTGGCATCCAGCCAAGGTGAATCCACCACATATATAATGCTGTAGATGCACAGTATCGATAATTTACTGCTCACTTCATAGAAAAAAGTTCATCTTCAAAAGAGTACGAGAAACAGTACAGCACTGTGCAGTTAAGTTTGAATACAACAAAGTGTTACTCATGCTTATAAAACACAATATTGTTTCAAAATACCAGATCCTGTAAATGACTACTAAGAGGAGTGAAGATGCAGTGACTAGCAGATATGGACAGACAAATTTCGGGCCAGAAATAAGACAGAAGGTTCTCTATCTTTGAAGACTTAAAATCAAGGCTTTTGAGGACAAACTATAGTGAAATTAGAACTCGATACAGCAATCACTGAGCAAGAACCTACAGTGGGATGAGATAACCAGAGCTCTTCGCCAGGCTTAGAAGGCCAGCTGCTTATAGTATACAAGTATCACCAATTTTAAGTTTTTTCAATTTTTATAGTGAAAAAATGGTGTGAAAGATATTTTACGTTTCATTTGCTTAAGAAAGCAAAGAAATACATTCTACCTACTTGAAGGTCAGGACAAGCTTTCTGTAACACTTGAATTTTTTCTTGAATTTCAATCAGTTTTCTTCTTTCTTCTTGTAACTGCTTAAGCTCCCGTTGCTGCTGCTGAAGTTTAGCTTCATAAAACTTCTCTCTGTTTAAATAAGTTATCCACATATTACTTGGCAAGAAGTTCCCTAAAGCGTGATTCTACTACCCTTTGAGAAAGGCATACCTTGCTTTTTCATTCAGTCCTACATCTTTTTGGAACTTGTTAGTACTAGCTCGGACATTGTTTGGTTGTTGCTTTGTCTCTTCCATCTCACCCAAAAACAAATCACCAATATTAGATGCATTTGCAATTGTTGCTTGAGGTTCTGGATCATCATCCTAAAAGGATGTCAGAAAGGCAGTTAGACTATTTTCAAGTTGATACACAAAATGTAGCAAGTTTAGTTTGTCAAACTAATTTTTCAAAACTAAACAGTCTGAATAGCTTTATCTTTAGTTCAGATCATAAATTGAGAAGTCATCATCTTCATGGCATCATGACTTTAAGATAAATTAATGAAACAATTCAAAGTTATAAAGCTCACACTACTGAAACTTCCACTATAAATGCAAGATAACTTGTCTCATTCTGCAAGCATCAACCACTTGAATTGTATTTTATGCCTACGACTGAGTGGAGAGAAACACACAGGAATGTCAACGAAGGGGGAGGTGAAAAGAGGAATAGAAGGAGACTGAGGTGAACAAGACTGCTTAATTACTGTAGTCATGAAGTTAAATATTACTATTAACAGCTTAAAATAAAAACAAAACTACTCTTGGAAGTCAAATCTAAAATATTTTAGAAACAGTCTTCTACATAGTTCTCTATTCCACTTTTATTTTCATAATTTTTGTATTTTCAGTTCTCGACTTAAATTGAAAATATTAAAGCTGTAGCCATTGCTTCTTTTGTTCTCTAACATGATCGTTTTTAATACAGAACCAAACAGAACCTGCTGACCAAGAGACATCATCATCAGTGACCAAATACAACACAGCTACGCAGACCTACAGTACCATTACTGAGTACATACAGATACAAGCCTTGTAAATACAAAGGAAAGATTTCAGACATGCCATTAATTAGGTTATTTATTAAGGAAGCTGCTGTACCATCTCTAATTCTGATTTATACCACTGTACAGTTAATATCTCTATAGTGATGATAAAAACCAAGCCTGATCCAGACGCTGACGAATTTCTGATAGCAGTATAATCTTGCAATAACAATATAGTATTTATACTGTTACTATTGTAAAACGTATGTTCTATTTGAGATTGCTTTTAGAGTTCTCACATAAAGCCTTTACATTTCTGATACACTTATGTGTATTCAGTATGCAGACATTACATTAGATGATGCTCAAATGTGAGCATTCTGTAGGGACATTAGATTAATGAAAATTTGTTTTTAATAAACCACTAAATTAGCATGAGATTTCTAAATTAAAAACACTTGTCAATTCATAGCTGGCCCTCAAGATTATGAAAAAACAAAAACACAAAACCACCCCCCCAAACCGAAAGCAAAATACCCCAACTCGAACATGTTGCAACATCTGAAGATTTTAATCGAAAACAAGTAATTTTTCCCCACTGATTAAATGACGTTGCAAAATCTAGGATTCGAAAACTAAAACTGATGAATATTCATCATAAGCTTAAAAATGTAGATCAATATTATTTAAAAAATATCAGACGACTTCGTTCATATTTTGTAATCCAGTGCTAAGGTTAAGTATTAAGGCCATTCCTCCGTTCGGTTAGCATCCCCCAAGAAAATTCCAGATTTGAACTTCGTACGTATCACCCTCGACTTCAGAAAAATCAAACAGTATCTCTTTTTCCCAGCCTAAAAATGAGCATTTTAAATTCACACTAAGCAGAGTGTTTTTCCCTATTAAAAGTTATACATTACATGAAATAACGAGTGCTACATTTTTGTGCACAGATTTATATTCATAAAATACCTGCACCATAGCAGCAAGGTTTTGTAACTGCCTAAGTTTCTGTTTTGCAGCTATAAGCCTGTTGATCTTCTGCTCAAACTCAGCATCTCCAGCAGCATCACCCAGGCTGCTTCTGTGACTAGATATGGAATCTTCACTAACTCTATCTTCTTCCACGTCATCATCTTCACCTTGGGGTAGGTCGGTATCTTTGTCATCCTCCCTATTATGACAGTCTGGAGGCAGGGAGAGGAAGAAACAAAACAGTACCAATGACACATTATTGAACTTCTTAAGACCACTGTAATTACTGGACATTAGAAAAAGATCAACTTAATGATTAGACTCTTGAACATCTTGCTCATTAAACAAGGTTCTCCCAAATTCTGTGCAGCTGTCAGAATTATTTGCACTAAGACTTAATATTATAGAAGATTTTAGAACATACCTAGAGTAGAAGACATTTTTAGAGTCCTTATATTAGCAGCAGATCGGTTATTTATTTCACAGTCTGTATTAAGATGTCTTCCATCTCTGTTATTATTTCCACACTGTACATTTGAGTTGCTATTTATTTCACTCCAACTGCTGATTCCTTGAGGGTTTCTAAGGTAAAATGCATTACTCATGTTAACTTTTTAAGAACTGGTATCGATGGAATTTTACTTCAGCCATTTTATTAACCGGCTTTTATGGGAATGTGTCCTGGCCGCTTTTTTAAAAAAAAATAAAAATCAAAAAAACCAACCCCATATAAAAATCAGTCCAGACATTTGGAATTTCTCAATATCCATCTCTCCAACTGATTTTTTTTTTTTTTAAGCCATCAGAAGCAGCTATGAATTATCGCCTGCTAGATCTACAACAATACAAGAGGCTTTCAAGGTATACGTCTATACTATAAAAGCTTTGTATGATTTATATCTAAATTAGTATTCATTTCTCCACAGTGAAGATCCTTGATGCACAATGTTGCCCTGTTACACTATAGCTCTAAATGCCTCTCTAAGCTGAAGTTTTTATTCCAATTCTCTAATCTAGGCCTGTTAACCTTCTAGTGGAATTCCATACACATAATTCAGTGCTTAAATCCAAAGGAACTACACATTTTGAAGTTTCTTATAGTGATTTTCTAAATTTCCAATCTAATCTACATTTGCTATATAACTAAGTTACCAAGCACAAGTTTATTATTAATCATCTGTGTAAGAAAGCTACTTCAAATTAAAAATTTTGGACAGTTAATGTAATCACAGAATTAAGTTACTTCTGGTTGACTGAAAAAATGTATTGCTTCAGGAATCCTGTAACAACTTAGCTACAAAGATTTAGGACGACAAAATATATGAAAACCTAATATTTGTAACAGGCTGTGGATCCTCATGTTCAGAATCACTTTCTGATTCTTCAGTTTCTTCCTCTTCCTTAGTGTTTTCGTTCACAGCATCTGTCATCATATCAGACGTTTGCTCATAGTAGTGAACTAACTCGCGTAACTCATTTAGCCTCTTGCGAACTTCATTTAGCTTCCTGAGGAGAAAAAAAAGAATGTGATATGTGTTTTGTCATATTAATCAAATCTACGTAGAGTTGAAGAGTATGTATATCATTTATAGTTCTTAAAATTTACTGCAATTTTCCTAGCTGTAAGAACCTTCTGCTTGAAGCTCTGAACTCATTTAACTGTCTTAGACTATTTACTAAATGGTCTAGAATACTAAATTAAGTAGATGAAAATATGAAATGGTTTCTTAACACAGAACTTATTAAAAAAGTAACACTCAAAATCACTAAAGCACATTATGAAAAAAAATTAAAAAACTTTTACTGAAGCTTTTCTGTTGGATTTAGATTGTCATCGTCTTCACTCTCATTCTGAGAAACTTGGGAATCAGGAGGATAGGGAGCAGATGTCAGGCTATTTGATTCGCCATTGACAACAGTTACTATGCCTACAGGACCAGAAGCAGCTGAAGTTGTACTTCTTTGATCAATACTCCTTTGAGGAGATCCTGAAGCCGGAAAAACTACAGAAAAGAAATACAGCTCGTAAGAACAACTTGGAAAAAGGAATCCGCTTAACTGAATTATATTATAATGTAACTACAGAAAATATTACCAACATACAAAACAGCAGTTCATAACTTCTTTTCTTAGAAGAACAAAAAAAAAAGCTTTTGTCTTAAGTTTCATGGTATGCAATGCCAATAGGCAAAGAGTAATAAGTAGCTTTTGTAAAGAAGACTTCAGTCAGTTCCTTTTAGCTTTATCAAACTTCAGAAGTGGAAGCTTTCACGCTGTGAGTCTGCCCAAAGAGTTCTTCTAAGGGTGTATTTACAGATGAATTGCCTTTTTCGAAACTTAACATTTCAACATGATAGAAAGAAAAATCCTATCAATTTTTTTCCTCTGGTAAGCTCTTTTGTCCATATGCGGTAGAATGTAGATTTGAGATTTGATGTTTGCTTTTTCCAGCTACATGAAATCATATCCAAATATGTTCATATTATATGCATTAAGTATATGTAGAAAGATGGGGTTATAGTAATGTAACCATTAAATCAGTCTGCCCTTCTCCAGGAGCATGCTTCAAGTGCCTCATTTCTTAATGTTAACCAGAATACAGTGTGATCACCCCTCAGAAGTTTCCAGCTATAGGACAAACTTCACCAGTACAAAAGTATTTCTAGAAATAAAAAGCGAGAGCAGCAAGTAGGCCCACATCAAGACTTTAAGGAGAAGAAAAAGCCCTCTAAGGAACAGACCAAAACTCTAGTCCATTCAGACAGTTAAGTTCCTCTGATATGGCCTATGATCGAAGTCGCTGCGATTAGTGCATGAGAAAGTCTTTTGACAGTGGACAAGCAAACCCCATAACACCATAAAGCTACTAACATCTGAAGTGCCGAGTACATAAATATGGATGTACTGTGATAAAAGTACAGAAAGTTCAAGTTCATATGGTACACTCCACAAGTCAGATGTGTCACAGCCAAGCCTTGAAGAAAAAAATCCCATTATCGCATCCTCACATTAGTCAACTTTGATGTTATAAACCAAAGTGCTCCTAGCAAAAACACTCATCATTACTTGTAGAGCTCTCCATTAAGCCAGAAACTTATACAGCATTAAAAACATTTACATAATATTGCCCTAGCACAGCTTTATCACCTGCATTTCATTAACCAGTTGCAAGTTGAAAGACCATGTTACAAACATGCACATTAAAAAAGTTGTATTCTATAGAATTCTGCCTACATTTACTTACAGGAGGAGTTATTTAGATGTTGGTCATGAAGCGTATGAAGTTCTCCTAACAGTTTGTCCATTTTTTGCTTTTTACCCTGCAACATTCGCATCTTGTTAAAAAGCTGCGCCTTCTCATCTGACAGGTGTTCAGACATTGAAGAGTTTCTGCTTTGTGAAATTTCTCTGGTAAGTGAAAGACTTTCTGCTTGCCTTCTATTGTCTGGCACAGACTGTGTCTAAAAAGAGTAATTTCATTTTATTCAGAGTATAATGAAAAAAGCCAAATAAATTGTAAGAAATAAAAAGCCCTCTTATAGGCTGGCTAGCCTCAACACCAGAACAAAGAACATTATAAAGGGAAACTGATACTGAAAACACACTCATGGTATCCCAATTATATATTGCGTTAATATATAATTATACTGCAATATAGAAACTACTTCTCTGGACTTTCATGGAAAACTGTGACACAGAAAGCATAGATCAGTCAGCTAGTAACTCGTAAGAACACAAAGATGCTGAGCTTTCAGGTTTGGAGGAACCCTAATTACTCCACTAGCAAATGCACACAAATAAGCAAGACAGACATTTAGCTGCACTGTTCAAAAGAGTAAGAAAAATGCACAATGGCAAAACTTATACAGTGCAATCCAAGGACTGACCTGAGAATCATGAAGTTGGTTGTGAAAGCGCTGAATTAAGTCATTCAATTCTTCATTCAGTTCTGATGTAAGGCTTACTCCTGAAACACTACCTGTCGTCTCTGTTACAACTGGGCATGCAGAAGGAGAAGGAAAAAATGTAAATACTTTTCCACAGCGATGAAATAAAGGCTATTTGATGAAAATGTTTTGTTTAACAAGAACATCAATATACTGCACCTCTTAAAACACTGCAATTATTTTTAATGTTGTGTCCTTCCCACCAACTTTACTCTTGAAGGATTACTTCCATTACAGAAATACTAACAAGCCAACTCACAGTTCCTTTGTGAAGGACCATACAAAAGGACTTTGTAAGTCTTTATATGTGTTTTGCTAAAAAGGTCAGAGCAAAATGAAAACAACCAAGTTGTCTAGGGTTGATGGAAACATTTTGCTTGTTAGAAACAAAATTGTTATTACTTAGTATAGCCAAATGAAGAACAGTGCATGTTATTTTACTTCCTTAAAATAATGAATTAACAGGACACCAAGCTTTCATCTTGGTATAAGTTGTAATCGTTACAGCTGCAAACAGAGTCTTGGGGGTCTGTCCTTCAAAAAGCTTTATGAGAGGAATACATTAAAAAGAAAGCTTTATTCCCCTCCATGAAAGCTCAGATTCAAACAGTACTAGGATATGGAACTGGCAGTTGAGAGTTCCAAATAACTTTCTTTTTCCCCAAATGTGAACCAACACTTCCTAAGAAAAATCACGCACAAATACTATTTGTTTTCCCCATAGATCATGACTTTGTTACCTGCACAATAAAGTTTTACTATTTTCAAATTTAAAAACATTTATTTTGCCCTATGTTGAATTTGAATCTTTACATTTCCTATCTTACAGTTCTGGCACATACCACATCTTTAAGTAAGTCGACACAAACAGTAGTAAGAAACTGTTATTAAGAGTGACATAAGTGGAAATGTGAAACAAATAAAAACACTACCAAAGAATTAAAAATAATGAAGTCCTAATTTATCATAAGTAATCCTATTTTTTATCCACTTCATCTAACCACTCCTCACCAAAATGGAGTTTTGTATATCTGAGGAAAGCAGAGAAAGCAGATTCCATCACAGGTCTACTCTGCTGTGGAGCAGATAGGAGAAAAGCAATTACTGAAAACCATTTAAGAAACAAGGAAACACCTTTCGAAGGACTTGCTTCTCTTGCTCCTGTGGTAACTTTCGAAAAGCTCTCTACCTACCAACTTTTCTGCTTCTCTTCCTACACTAAAATCTAGAGTTTTCTTAACTAGTTCCACCTTCTTTCTTATAGTCTTATCAAATCAAGGACAGGAGAAAAAGCAGAAAGAGGAGCTCATCACAGCAAGGAACCTTAAAGAGAGACTTTTTGTAAAATGTAGAAACCAATGCTTATATTTCTACAAATTAAGCTATTTTAAATACAAAACCTAACTGTAATAAGAAATGCTATCCCATATACCCTCTACTCAAGCCCAATGGTAACTCTTCTGGGGAAGAGTCATGGAACAGTAACATAGACTGAATCTCAACTTGCTTTACGCAAAAATGTCATTCTCTATGACTGCACACATAACTGTACCCCATTTCCAAAGAAAACTGAACAGGATTTAGGGAGGGGTGGGGGGCAGGACAAGCTTCCAAAAAACAGAAGATAATTCACACGTCAACAGTGCACAAATCAAGGACAACTGTCACCCTTTTAAGATTGAACTCTTGAGAAAACAACACTGCTGACAACCTTTAAGTAGATACCAAAAAAAGGTCTCTGTCCCAAAGACAATTTATGAAAACGAATTAGAAGAATGCTTTTAAACTGAAGCTTATAACATAATGGTGGTGCTCTATTATCAGAACCTGACCTGCAATTTACATGCCATAGAATTTCAGAGTTCTAGTTTCGTATTTACTTATGCAACTGCTTTAGCAACCTCCTCCTTTCTTTTATTGGATAAACCATTAGCCTACCAATGGCTATTAAACTGTCAAGCAACCAGCCACCAAAAAAAAATCCCATGAAAAAGCAACCAAAAACTCAAACAACCAACTACCTATAGCCAGAAGGATGCAGAAAGGGAGAGAACACTCTGTATCCCCCACTCAGATTCTTTCCTTCAAAGGCCTGGTACAATGATGGAGATGAGAGGCAGAGTCCTAATTTGATGTGGTAGACCAATTCTTAGGAGAAAACCCCACACTTTTAGGATTTTACAAGGAAACCACAGAAATCAGCTGCGTGGTTTTTAACTGACACATCATTTTACAACATTACATTGTCAACTCTTTTCAGAAATAGAAGCCTTGCAGTAAAATTTTTAACAAGTGCATTACAAAAAGACTTTTAAATGTGTATTCCACAATTCCAGCTTTAATCATTCAATCAGCACGTTAACATGCTATCAAAGATACTGTCACTCCACATACCAGAATCATCCATGACAGCAATCGCTTGCTCTGCTTTATGCTGCAAAGCAAGAAGAGCTGCCTGTCTTCCTTGAAGAGCTTTCAATTGCTCCTGCTGTTGTAGCATCCTTTTCAATAAATCATGCTGCTTCTTCAAGTTCTCCAACTCCTCTTTAGCTTCCTGTTGAGGATCTCTGGCCTGCAAGATATGGAAGAACATTACCATAACCATGACAATTTATTTGTTGAGTACTAGTGACAAGAGGTGTCAAAACAAGCAGGACTTTAATAGAATCAAGCAGCCTGGTTAGTGTAAAAAGATGAAAATGAAATGGCTTCACCTTTCCAGTAGTCCCTTTCAGCCTAAAAATTTTAGGCATCCAATGGGGAGAAGCCTGTACCACCAAGACATGCTTACCACTCCTGGGGGTTAAGTTTTCTTTATAAATCCAGTCAGCCACCCTAACGTGTCCCAAAGACTAACCCAAGCATCCCTCTGTCTTTTAAATCATAAAAGAGGGCATTAAGCTGTAAGACTGGTAAAGCTAAGCAAGATAAGGCATAGTATCATGGAGCTACACATAATACAAGATCTAGATTGATTTACTGGTCTAAAATCTCTAAGTTTTCAGCAGAATATTTTGGGTAGTTATTCTTCTCTAACCTATAATGTGTTTAGTTTTGTATGCTATATTTATGCTACAGATACTAGATTTAGGTAAACCAATTTCAAAACAAAAACATGCACAGAACCCTCTCTATAGCATATTTTCAAACACATGGAAATAGATCTGAAGGAACGAAAGCACGTTGGGCAGTTAAAACAGATTAAACCTATGTTATTTTCCTCATCCTATCCTAATTAAAAGCTGGATGTTTGCCTCAAACTTTTATTCAAGGATTTCCAGCAAATTAAGTATTTTAATGAGACATGCACAGTTAAGATCCTGATCCTGTTTGAAGTTGGATTATCACACTATGCAGATGAAACCATGGAAAAAATTGCCTCCTTTTTGTCAGGAGTTGACAAGTATTTAAAAAGAACATTATTAACTTAAAAGCTTCATCTTCTCTCCACATAGTGCTGAGTTCCTGAAGTACAAAATTCTCTCAGTCCAAAAATTCGCCACCAAATGTCAGAATAGAAGCAGGCATCTTATTAACTAGTTCTGGTTACCAGAGAACGCTCAACTTTCCACCAGAGAAAGGAGAACACATCCAGAATTCTAAACTTCTCACAGAAGTGTCACTAAAACATGCACTGCAACAGGCACTGATCATTCCTGTTAAGTTTTCATCTTATATATAAAAAGCAGAGCAGAGGCAAAATAGAATACACAATGAAATCAACACAGGAAGGAACAAGGGGAAGAAAGGGAAAAAGGGGATGCATCTCAGTCTTGCTCACCTATTAAATAATCCAAGCTTTATCTAAAGTATCAGATTTGCTCAAGTTAATTAAAATCACATAACAAATTTGTCAAGCTTACTTCTACATTTAGACTAATAAGCTTGACAAGAGATTTAAGCCTTTTATTTTATGGAAAAAAAAATAATCAAACTTAGACTTTTTAAAAAAAAAAAAAATCAGAGTAAGAAACAAAGTCATAGAAAAGCTGGTAACAGACAACAAAAGAAGTTTTAGACTCCAAGCCCCTTAGTCTTCTCCCTTCCAACCAAATATTTATACAAACAGCTATTCAAAAACATTTGTGGAACAAGTAAAGGCTACCATTCTCTAATTTGTTTTCTCTATATGGTACTAGCTTAAATTTGCATTGGCAGACTATTGGTGTAAACATGACACGTGTCTGAAAGTCGCATTTACAATACATTTACATTTTTCTGTTTTCCCAGAAAGAGAACAGCAAAACTGGAAGGATCATCTACATAAAATCAGAACACCTGCTGTACAGAATTACATGTAGAACTTTCTCTGTCAATGTTGAGACTTCAGAAGAGAAAGTTGTCAAACTTTTATTTAAAGAAAAAAAAACTCTAGGCAAAGAAGATTAATTCAACGAAAAGACAGCTGGATACAGATAAGCAGGCCAAATGGGAACATTCACTGTAAGTAACAAATACATTTAAGGCAGTTAATGGCAGGGGAGGAAGGGGAGGAGATCAGCATGTACACACCCTATTTGAGGCTAAAATAATATTTTGAAGTGTACCTTTGAAGGCAATCCATGTTCTTGGCTATTAATCCTACAAGGCCAGATTTCCCTGTCATTCAGAGCAGCTCTGTCACTTTTCCCTTTAGGGCTTGCTGTAACATCAATGTCTGTAACCTGTTCTTGTGAAGCTGAATTCCCTAGTTTGTCCTCAATGCGGGGCCGAATGCTCAAACTAAAAGATACCTCCTTTATTAAATAGTTTAGTACGTTAGATTTTGAACACGTGCTCCAACTTAGCATGCATTTTTAAGTTACAAACCTACCCACTTGTACCTTGTCAAATAATGAAAACTAATATGAAATAAAATCTACTAAAAAAGACATTTTTTAGTCATTCTTAGAATTTTCGTAACAATAAGGCTCCATATAACAATCAACCTTGTAAGACTAGAATTATTCATTCTGCATGTAATATATTCAAGCTGCGTGTAAACAGAAATTAGATGCAAAATGAAGCGCCAAACGTATAACTAAAACCCATTTTGCAAAGATGAAGAAAAATGCAAGTTTACATGCATACTTAAAACCTGTACTGGTCTTTTTCTGCATTTTTCAATTTTTTTTTTTTTTTTTTTTTAAAGTTAAAAGTACATCTTCCATGTCTATCATTTTATTTCTTTACAGGAATAGAAAGAGGTCTTACAAAAGCTAAAAATAATTACAAAAACTTCTTTATGTTTTAAGTGCTATTTTACTTCCAAGCACATAAACTCCTCATCTGTAGAACATGCAGAGTACTAACTGACTAAAAGAGTACCAGCTCTCTAGTACTTTTCCTCAGTATAGTAGTATTGGAAGATGTAAAACATAAGTTGTTATTAAAATGCTTTTGTATTTACTACAAGAATTGTTTGTCACGTTAATATAAAAGCTTTTTTAAATAGAAAGGAAGATTGTCTGTGTATCTCAGAAGTAAATTCAGAACACATTTTCTAAAAGGTGCTCAGCTCTCCAAAAAAGGAGAGAAACTTCTGTGTTAGGTCAATACTTATATTACTAGAAAGATGCTTGGACAATGGCCCACTAATGACTCATTTCTAACCCTCTCCTCACCCAACACCAACAAGTTTTCCCCACTAACAGAAACAAACTTAGAGATGAAAAAAATGTATAGAAAACTATTCCTTCCTACATCAATCTAGTCCATGTTCTGCCAAAGTAAACATTTAACCCTTCATTCTACTTCGAAGAAAGACTATTTTTAAAAACTAATCAAGATACATTGTTGTTGTGACAGAATCATTCATTTTTCTCCACACACAAAAAAAAAAATAAAAAAGAAAAAATCCACACATGCATGAACACCTCCTGAACAGAGTGTTTGGGGATTTACTATTTTTAATTGAACTGCAGATTATGACACTATCACAACAATCACGACAAAAACAAAATAAAAACAAACCTTTCATTTCTAGAACCTTAATTACTAAAAGGCAGCTTACCGTAGTATCTGAAGCCTCAGACTGCACATCTATGTTTAGCGATGTGCTCTCACCTACAGAACCAGATCCCACAGCTGAATCTACAGTCCGAACATCATCCTCCTCATTTTCTCTAGCCTGAAATATTTCATTGGCATAAATCAAAAGCTATATAAGGGGGCAGTAAAAATGAATTATGGAAGGCACTACATATCAAAACCAACACCCCCAGTAGCACCATCAAAACATCAACGGTCAACTCCTAAAAAAGCTTACAGTGCAGAAACAAATATATTATGTTCTCAAACTTACAAGCATCTTTTGCAAAAATTTCAGATAGGATTTCTCCTGCTCTTTAAGGTGATCTATAAGATGTGATAAACGCTCAACATTGGCCGATCTTTCATTTTTCTCTACAAGATCATCCCGCATGGAGCTGGCCTTAGCAATATAGTCGCGAATTTGAACTAGTCTGCTCACAATCTGTAAAGACACTGAAATTACTGAATGCATTCAGCTACAGCTTTAACATATGTAATGCACAAGACAGTGATAGCAACAGCAGAGTAGTAATTAAAGGGGTGACATACTAGTATTTTCAATCCTATAAGCACACTTCTGCAAGTGGTTAAAAGTCAACAGCTTTTATAAGGATAGATTTACGCATGCATGAAATTGCAAGGCTGAAGTACAGGGCTTCTTGTCAACACAGGCTAAAACAGAATTGAGCTCATTAACATATGAATATATCAAACTGAAAATGTTTTCTGGAATTGTATAAAAGAGAACCAACCTTTAAGATGGAAATGAATACTGCTTCTGTTACCAATAAGCAGATTTCTAAAGAACAATACATGATTAAGTTTTGTTTCATGTTTTCCTCAAGTTGCCTTTTAGAATAGTGGGAAGATAAGCATTTCCAATGAAGATTTAACGCTTATACTTGTCGGAAATTTAGAAAGATGCACTGAAAAGTAATAAGGTAATTAAAACCTTTCTAAGAGTCAATATTCTGTAGACTTTATAGGCTATGTAAATACCTGGCTACTATCCATAGTTGGTTCTCCCCTTCCATCTTCTTGAGCAAAGACTTGACAATTTTGCAATAAATCCTTGCTTAGGGCAGCTCCAAACAACTCCTTACATTTCACTGATACCCCACTTTCCTTTTTTTGGGAACTTGAGGCAGGATCTTTGCTTTTGTTAGTGTTTATCTGCAGTGACAGGAAGTTGAATGGTTTTTTGTTTTCATTAAGTTGACGTTTGTTGTTAGCAGCCGTTGCCCTGCCTTGAGAATCACTTCCAATGCTTCTCTACAAACAAACAAAAAAAAGAACAATTGCTTTATTTTTTTCATCCAATATATTCTCAACACTGATTAGTTTCACTGCTTGGATTACCAATTCTGCAGTATTATTAGACTGATTTTAAAGTTACCTTATTAGTCACTTACTAGCCAAAAGCTAGCTAAAGACAGTATCGGTGATTTTTGCCACGTAGTTTTCAGAAAGCAAGCCCACCCTCCCAGAGCAGCCAAGAAGCAAAAGGGTTCTGCAGTTTGTCAGAGCTTAGTTCCTCATCCTTGCTGTGACCTCCACTTTTACTATAGTGAAAGGCACCCTACTTCTCCAGGTACATTTGAGAGAATAACAATAATAAAAAAGCAACATATTCACTTGCAGAATATGATACCTCATAACTTCAGCTTTTCTTTAGAACCTTCTGAATAGCAACTTGTTGCCGTAACATACGTTTGGGGAGGAAGTTATGCCCGGTCTTTATATTCTAAGTCAAAGCAATGAATCCCATTTGAAAGAACCTTCACAACCCAAACAAGTTAACAACAAACTTTGGCAAAGATTAACAAGCCTCTATTCTGAAACTGTTAGCACAAATTTATGCCTTGTTACCGAAGAATTAATGCCTCATACTTTTCATTGTTTTGGACACAGGAAGGATGAATGTGCCATATTCCCAAAGCAGCAGTTATGGCTCAAGAATTCATGCCATACATTTCTCTACATTCTACTGAAGAGCAGTTTTTAATGCTACTCTTCTGCTTAATCCACAAGGATAACAACGTTCAGAATCACAAACTGGCACTTCAAGAACAGACTTTCAAAATAAGGTAACAGATATTTTTGAGCGGCAGACAAGTATGATGAGTTAGAAATACTGATTTGAGGACACAGAAATTTGTTAGTGATTGAGATGAAGAAAGTGAACACAGCTAGCATGCTCTCAAGCATAGGAAAGCCATAGTCCTGAACTTTGCATAATTTTCTCAAGTTCAAAACCAGAATTTTGATTTGGCTCCCATGGTGCCTATAAGCTTTTTTTTTTTTTTTTACCTTAATCGCTTATGAAGGCTTTCTTTATTCATCTGTCAAATTATTAAGAGATAGCTGAATAAATTTTGTAGTCACGTTTATAGTGGGAGCTAGTATTCACACAAACCTGATCCAGATCACTGAAGTTAATTCTTTGTTTAAGCCTTTCCAGTTCAGCCTGCTCTGGAACAGACATCTGGGTCATGTATCGAGCATGAGGAAAACTATGAGGAGTTCTGGTCTTCCGTCGTCCCATTCCAGGTGAGGATTCTGGAGATATATCATTAGTAAGCCTCGTTTCAGCTTCCCCACCAAGCTTTTTCTTGTTTTTTTCTGAAGATCTGTTTGCTTTCTTCTGTTGACTTCCCCAGTCCTTAGGGGGAAGGAGAGGGAAGAAAAAAAGTCATATTTGTTATCCACATAGATAAAAAGTAAATGTTTTAATTCAGTGAAACACAGTTTGCTTCCATTTTAGAAGTAAAAATAAAAAGCGGTATCAAAATATGCACTAAGTTTTCTAGAGCAAACGGCATATTACAAAATTTCTCCACTGCATAAATTAAAAATAGCTTGTCAGGAAATTTTAAACCCATTTCATCCCACAAAGCATTAAATTAATTTCAAATGAAGCTAAAATTGTATTTTTCTTCTTTGCTGAAGACTCTTCATCAGCAGTTTAGAACTTTTAAAATTAGAGTTTTCACTTTCATGACACCTACGCCGCTTTTGTGTCTAGCTACTTTATTTACCCAAAACACTTTCCATAAATACATCTACAGACTTCACAACCTCTGAATTACACTCATTGCTTGCTTACATCTACCTGAAGTATTTTTATTGGTTTTATGGATATTTACCTGTAAAGCTGTATTGACAAAGCTTAGGGTTTTCATTGTTACCTGCCACTAACAGAATCTACCTGGTAATTTTAATGTACAGCACAAAATGACAACTGAAAGGTAAGATTAATTATACCGTGTTGTTCAGCCGGTCATCAAGGCTCTCATTGCTCCAGCTAGGCAAGTCCTGATCATTCATGCCTTCGTCAAAGGGACCACCTCCTGTTGCCATGACAAGCAATCAATGAAAAGAATCTAAAAGAAATAGTTGAAAGAAATGTGCTGTATTAAAATCAGTTTATGTAGAATATTTTAAAGATTCATAATCTGAGATGACAACTACATATTCATTATAAAATGCAAACACAAGGCTGTTTTAAGAAGCTAAAACCCCTCATTACTAAACTGTGTTACTTGAAATGTAACAGTGAGAAGAACACAGATACTGGCATTAAAAATTAAACAAGAAGTAGTTGTGGGTTTGGTTTGTTTGGTTTTTTACCTCTTTTTTTTTAATCCCTGCTCTGAGAAAGTAAAGAATTCTTTTTTTTTTTTTTGAGGCTCTCAATTTTCCTCACTTTAAAACACACTATACAGTACTTGGAAAGACTGCTTTGTGATTCATAAAGCCTGCACTTTCAGATCCAGGGTGATGCCTATTCAATACTTAGTGACTTTGGAGACATAATATGTCAAACTTTCACATTTATTTCAATACTAAGATGTTGACAACAGAGCACTGAAGGGGATACTTGATACAGTACATGGAAAATAGACATTAATAAAAGGATTTTTACTTTCTTTACTAGCAGTTATGTAAGCAGTGAATGCTGTGCCACTTACATTATAGTTTCTAGCAAAAACAGACAAAACAATTTTGGTCTTCTAGAGCTCTGCTGCTCTCTAATAGTGTCATTCTGTGCAGTATAATGCAATCCATATGTTAAAAGTTTTCAATTTCACTTCTAGTTTTGACATTAGTAATAAAAGAGTTGTTAAAGCTGAAAGATCAGAAACAAAGTATTCCTTTATAGCAGTAAAATTAGACTAGCCTGTTCAAAAAGGTGAAGAATACGTAACTGTATATACTCTCAGGCTGCAATAAAAACTGTGTAGCCTAAGTGCTGCTGGCACAGTTCCACAGCACAAAGCTACAAACTTCTTCCTTGTAACAGCGATGAAGTTCCGTTACAGATGTAGAAAAAAAACAGCTTTGCAGAGAATTACTTTTTCCAGCTAGTTTTAACTGCTATGGTAGGACATGATCCTAACTTTAACTGAAAAAAAATCAAAAAGGACCATTTATTTCTAAACATTTTACGGCAACCTATCTACTATTAATTTTCATACCAAGATTTCACACAGTGCAAGTGAAGAAATCACCTAAAACTCAAGATTAAGAAGTATCTAAGAAGTTGTTTTTTTTTTTTTATAATCAGTTCCAGCAAAAAAAAAGATTAATCCTGAACTAAGTTTAAAAGCTGTACTAGCACACCTAACTTGCTTCGGAATAGTATTCAATCAAAATCACACAGTACAGCCCTTTCAGTAGGTGCACTCGCACAAAGCAGTATTTTTATGCAAACACAGCCTATTGTTACACTATTAAAGAAATGGGATCTACCGTGTATGCTCATTAAACCATAAGCACGTCTCCACTTGGCAGTGTACCAACCTAAGTCATGCTAACACAGTTAGGAGCAATTCAGCTTCTGCATCTCACAACCAGAATCACAACACAGGTATAATTAAGCACCTGCTACTTCGGGAACTGGCAGATCTGTGTCCTACTGTCCTTACACATTCATTCATACTCCCTTCTTCGTGCCAACAGAAGTGTCCACTAGGCCGTGCAGTCAGAGAGTACCATCTATAAACTAGCTAGCCAACAAACAAAACCGAAATTAAAAAACACAGTTAAGTTCTCAACTGGATAAGCTCCCTGATCTGGCTAACCTTATGATTATATAAGAACTACCTGTAGGCTCAAGGAAGGCAAATAAAAGCCATGTCATCAGGAGGAGCGAAACCCAGACAGATCAACTGTAAAACCACACCTCCTGTGCAACTTTCACCCAGGTGAACTGTCAGATTTATTCAGAAAATAAGAACACCATGCCCTTTCACATTTTCTTTGTTTTCATGTAGAAGCACAAGCATCCTATGAAAAGTTCACAGGGAGGCTCTCCTGCCAACTCAAGGTAAATTGGACAAGCATTCAAAACAAATGCATAGTTATCAGCTTAGCTTATTTTAGAAAACAGCTATGTTTTGTAAAAACTTTCTTCAGTTAAACTGTTCAGCTTTGTACATGTGCAAGACCCAACTTTTCAACTGGCACTCTATCCTGACCTATGCCACTAAGCATAATGAGTTCATCTTGACAAGATTAGAGGCCATCTGGGTTTACAGTCCAATTCAGTAAGCCATTTCCTCATCATCATGTTATATAATTCTACTAAAACCATAGTAAAAGAAGTTTTTCCCTACCTTCCACTATAAAAACAAGTGGCAGTATTCATCTTCACATAATACAAATAACTACTCACATTTATTTCATTTAAAACTTTCACAAAAACTATCTTCAGCTATCTTTGCTGCAGTAGTCTCTGATTACCTCTGAAGTAAGTTCGCTGCCACAGATGGAATATTCTGAATAATACTGTCAAACAAGGACACTAGGCATATGCCAATGCACCCTAATAAATACAGCTCAAAAATAACAATAACCTGATTACTTCCAGCAAGCGGATTTTAAAGTGTTCTAACAGAACACTTCCCTTCCCAGAAAGCAAGTTTCTAAACATTCATATTACAGTCTTTGATATTTCCAAATGAGTTATATTCAAGTGAGCTTGAGATCACAGAGCTATGCTGATATTTCATCCCTCCAATTCAGTTAAAAAACACTAAGAGGTTCAGCCAGCTTTTTCCTTAGAGATGAAATTCTCCCATATGAAGCTGTGTTTTTCACCTCCCCCCCCCTCCCCTTCACTGATTTGTATTTTTTCTTACTTTTCATTTTACCAGCTATTTCCAGAAGAAATCCTCTTATAAAAGCTTTGGTATCCTCCCATTATGCTATATCTGCATCCAGCAACCCATTACCAATCTCAGCTTCTTGCACATTACAAAATCTGCATAAAAGCTCTATCTGAGCATGTGCATGCTGCCTTCCAACATTTATCAGGTACTTGGGAAAAAAAAAAAAAAGACTTTCAAGTATATTTTCTACAGAAATAATAACTTAAGATAACATGTAAGATTATAGTCAAAACTTATTTTGTACATGTAACAGCAATATGCAAATTGCTCAGAAGTATCACTACAAAACATGCTAACAAAGCAGAGATACATATTTTAGGCAGCTTTTTTCCTACAAGCGGAGTTGGTTTTGACTTTTTTTTCCTGTAGCATTCATGGGAACTGCAAGAGCTCTGAAGAGCACTTAATCCTGCACGTAGAAACTTTTGAAAATTAAAAATTAAATGGAAGACAAAAAGTTGTAAAAAGCCATCATAGAGCCATAAAGACTGAAAATGATCACACATCTCTTTAAGTTTAGCTTTTTGAGACACGTGCTCCTCACTGAGCATTAATTTAGCATTAACTCATTAAATGCCTACAGAGTATTGCCAACCATACAACATGATCAAATAGGAGCAGACCAAGGAGCAAGTCCTCTCTCGTTGCACCGGACAGCCCTCACACGAGCAACGCGCTAGGAGAACTGCAAACTCAAACATCCGGACCAAGGGAGGGATGCCCAGGAGGGATGCCCAGGAGGGATGCCCAGCACTCCCAGCCTGCAGAGTCGGGGCCGAGCCGCGCACCTCAGCCCTCCCCGGCGCCCCGCGGGCTGCCGTCCCGACCTG